GACATTCATGTAGTAATCTCTATATCCACAAATTATATCTTTTTTTTTCATCCGTCAACTTGTTAAAAATGCCTATCAAACAGTTTTGTGAATTGATTTCGCCTGGCAAAAAAGTGCCATTTGCCAATATGGACGAACATTATCTATTCTAGAAACTGACTGACTGGATTAGTTTTTCAGAAAAATCCACTATCCCACCTCAAACAAAATTGATTGTTCCGAACATGTATGTTCCCTACATGGTCTGCCAATTACCACTAGACTGTCCCATCGACCTTTGCAATCTGGGCTATTAAAATTGTACATTATTTAAGAAATATTGTTTATCATACAATAGAATACTGCAGGGAGAATAAACCATGAGGGGCGCAGCAGAGCCGTTTATTTCTTAAATGAGATATCCATTGATGGAACCATTTCTCAAATGTCATTATATGTGTCTGAAATATAGGGTACACAATATTACAACATTAAAATTCAGAACATGTATTTAAAGAGACTTCTTTGTATTGATATATTTGCCCCTAATAAGGCAGTACTAGGACCAACTGGACGTGATTGTATGCAGCGTTTAGTCAATGGAGCGTTGTAATTGTAATAGATAGTGGAGGATGGATTGTAATCGGTTCCGCATCAATTTTACTTCATGCTCAAACGTTCAGACAATAATGGCCAACAAACTTGGGTATCAGAGTTTAAGGATTTACTATTTGTATGATTGTATTTACCTTCGATATAGATTTCACGATATATTGGTAATGAGAATGTTTGTGTGTGGAATTTAAAGCAAAGACAGGATGATATGTTTACGCAGTCTGGTCATGATTCAAAATCAACATCTTAATTTCTATCCAGGTATGCTGATTTAAAATCACATTTACACCCAGGAATGTACATATCACATCTGTAGGTTTAGAATGTCTTTGCACAATCTAAACATACATGTATACTTATTTAGAAGAGGCTCTGTTGTTCAATTAGCTGATCGTGTAGTGCGACAGCTGTCAAGGAACACACTGTTTGTAGTGAAATTGAGCAAAAGAACCATTTACTATTTAGATCATTACAGATGTAAACGGGATATTGTTATCAATTTACAGCCAAAGCAACTTTGCACGATTTTCAATGGTGAAAAGATATACATTTAACATTCAGAAGAAGTTAGTCTATGAATGCTTCATTCACTAATCACAAAGAATGTGTAGAGTGCTTGTCTTAATCCCTGATAACGCTGGACTGAGCTGACACGGAAGTGATTTATCTGTCACGTGATATCGTTTCCTCACCTACATGGATGCAGTAGAACATGTATTACCTGTATGATATTTACGACACAAAGTGCATAATGACCCCGTCTCTGCATAATGTATGCTGATTTGATATAAATAAGCCTGATGTGAAGGGTTATGAATGTGCAGTGTTATATAGCGTGGAAATAAATAGTGAATATTTGTATTTTCAAGTGACCTGACATAGTTGATGTTTCAACAATGAGAAACACGTTATGACAATAAAAGACAAACGTATTGTTTGTCATGTAATTTCTTAGTTATCTCAAACACAATGTGAATGAGGCAGATTGAAAACCGTTCAGCCATAAAGTGTTAATTCACTGGAGTGAGATATCGGTTTTATATTTTCAGAGAAATACGAAATTTCATCACTTAATACATACAAACCTCTTTGTTAACACATTGGTCAGCGCACTTGTTATTAGTATACATAATACATATCTGCCGGTTGGTGTGTCTATTGTCCGCAGGCCTGTCGTCAATTTGATTGACATGATATCAGCAAGCATACACGGTAATGAGATGCCGGTGATATGATGAGGTAAATGCCGCAATCATTAATATTCCAACTACATATCATAGGGTTTAGGTGCCTCAATGTGTTTAAACCTGACATTTGTTATGGTTTCTTTAGACTCTAAACATTATAGAAATTGAAACCAACAACAAACGTCAGCTACAAACTAGAAGTATGACAGATCACAAAAGACGAAATACATTAAGCCCCTCAAAAGATCGACTCTTGACATGTCTGCCCTTTCGTACTCAAACAGACGAGGAAATCTTAACTGTATGTGTGCAGTGCAGTTGATTCTGTTATGCGATTTTGGTCATACTTTGTCTGTTATTGACAGTTATTTTCATACGTCTCGTACAAGGCTGAACCCAGTGATACGGGTGACTGCACATATGCTTGAGTAGACTCGCCTGGCCGGGTAACGCAACCAATATCAGGACGTTAGCGTGTGTATGAAGTATAATCTCCAGAGACGCGACATGCAACCGAGACGGGACACATCTGCGCGCATTGAGAATGTGTTTTGAATAGGAAATGCTGATAAACATGTACCTGTGCCATTGATCGAGACGGGGTGATTGCTCTGTCTAAGTTATTCTTCCAGGTTGGTCAAGTTATTTCTGGTATACATGGATCCTTGATACAACAGGATATTGATCATGTATGAAGACAGTGATGTGTAATTTATGTACAGTTTCATATTAACATAGCTATGGTATGGCTATTTTGTTTTAAGGATGACTGGTGATTCGGTTAGACGTCACCCTACTCATACTCTTCAATACCCCAAGACCATTTGCTATACACAATGGTATAGTGTTCACTTGACATGTGCAGTGTGATTGTAAAAGATGCGTTGTGAAAAAATGTGTCTTCAAGCTTTGGTATTTTGACACCATGATATTGTGATATTGTTGTATGTTTCAGACAAAATCTCTCTTTCGGCGTTGATTTGGACTTGTTACACAGCGGGTGATGGTACGTTTGGTCACTATTTCTTTACCTAACACATTGAGGCTGTAATGTGGCTAATAATTATCTTTTAAATATTTTCACGGATATAATAGATGTAAATAATAATATCCAATGCTCTTCCATCATTTGACTTGTTCCAAATGTTCTCGTGTATTTCAAGTGAACAACTGACGTGCCTTTGCATGTGTTTGTGACGGGTGCCACCGGTGGGGCAGGATACGCTCACCTTTTTACGAGCACATGGTGTCATCACTATTTGATAGTGATTACTAAACACATGATCATCATATAGTGGAATTGTAAACGAATCTGCTTTCAGGATAGATTTCTTGTTAATATGGAAACGGTTTTGTCGCTGTAGTATAATTGATATGTACTGTGAACTTAGTAGGTCATGAAAACATGAGACAAGGAAGGATGTCAGAACATTTACGAAAACAACATACCGTATTCGACGCTAGAATAAGCGCCCACATTTGCTAATATATTGAATAGCTAGTGAACAATCCTTATTTGCACCCCTTCCGATTGATCAATGTTCACAAGACTTATCTATTCGTGTATAATACGCACCCGTGTGTTATATGCACCCTTAATTATGGGTAATTAAATTATTGAAAAAAATCTGTCGTGTATAATCCGCACAGACTATTCTTTTGTATCATTTCATGCTGTTAGCATAAACCACGAAATTTACGATTTTTCAAGTGTTTTTTGTTCTCACGAAAATTATATTCTAATAAGGGCCCCCTATTTCTAATTTGGAGAGCGCCCTGGGCGCTTAGTACGTCGAATACGGTAAAACATCTTTCTTTCATCAGTTGCGTTGTGTGGGTCATGTGTTGGGGTCAGCATGTTTCAGTTACCTGGAGTCATGGGACTTTATACATGTTAACGAACCAAGCCATATTGCAACTGTATCCCTGTATCTTCAGTCATCGAAGGGGCGGTCGGGTAGCCTAGTGGTTAAAGCGTTCGCTCGTCACGCCGAAGACCCGGGTTCGATTCCCGACATGGGTACAATGTGTGAAGCCCATTTCTGATGTCCCCCCGCCGTGATATTGCTGGAATATTGCTAAAAGCGGCGTAAAACCAAACTCACTCACTCAGTCATCGAATCTGGATGGGACTGGTTCTGTATGTTATGGTGAGTGAATGGCACTCATCTCTACAGACATGGCAACCTTCCATGCCATGATGTAGAACATGGTCTCCATGTTGATTCCGGGGTAGAATTGGTTCTCAGGATACTTCGATTTTCGTACGAATCGACATGGATCGAAACCTGTCGTTCATCGGGGCTCATGCTTTAAATTCAAGGTTTGTTTGGTCCAGACTTGAATATTGACAGTCTGCCATGACCGTCACCTGAGAAACGTGGTCCCACCGACTGACCGACCCACCCACCCAACGATCCACCCTCCCTTCTACCGACCCACACACACTTCCAGCGAGCCACCCACCGACCCTTCAAACGACCCTTCCACCGTCCCACCCACCTTCCCACCCACCGAGGGAGAGGTTGGAGTGAGCTATGTTTACATTTTCACTGTGAAGGGCAAGTCGTCAGCTATGGGTTGGATGAGAGTCACGCCACCCTGCCAGTCTTGACTTGGTGGGAGTCGATAGGCAAATATCCCGATTATGTCATCTCCTGTGAGACGCATCAGAGATGTCTCGTGTCCAGGAACAAGACACGACTGCAGCATCAGGAAGCCATGGTGAGTAACCATGACAACATATACACGGTAAATGTTTGCGATAATTTTGGATGTGACGGCTACTGAGTGACGCTTCCATTGCAATTTACCTGCTCTATGTGTTACTGAAATTGTGTCACCGTCATATTAAGCTTTACCAGTACAAACGGTCGATCATGTCAACTATGTGTGTAGGCATGTTTGCGAAAGAAACTACCCAAAAGTATCTACCTACATGGAGCGTCATGATTTCAGTGTTCTTACAACCGACCATTATCGCGATATATTATGTAGGTTATAGGGGATTAGACTGACATGAACTTTAGAGAAAAGTCTCGCTTCAGTAAGTTTGCCGATGCCTGTCACATAATAGTTTTATTTCATTCGTGTTCACCGCAACATTAAAAACTTCGTCAAAACAGCCTCTTCTTTCAAAGCGAAAAACGCACGACAACCTTGGCGTCAAATGGCCACACTACGCACACTCGTCCGTGACGCCTTCAGAACATAGACAGTCAGAAGTTGTACCTTTTGCCAGAGGGACTATCAATCTTCCATTTATATTTTCAGATGTACATATTTTACGGCTCATTCTTTCTGTCGAGTGGTCTTCCTTCCCCAAGGAAGGATGGCGATATTTGGGCATTGATCCACGAAGAGTCGCCCATGAACAAAGATTGGCTGTTTTCATTCAGGAGCACTATAGAGCTGTTCAACTACACATCGACTTTCAAGAGGGGTTCTGACTACCCGCTCACCACCCACTGGCTGACAAACAAAGAGACACTGCTCAGTAAAGAATATTTATTCCCCACAGACAGAAAGAACGTGATGAGGACAGATGGTGGCCTAGCTCCAATTATATTTGTCCACAGCGACTGCAACACACCATCCAACAGGGAGCAGTACGTCACGACGTTGCAGAACTATGTCGATGTAGATTCCTACGGCCCTTGTCTCCACAACAAGGACTTGAAGACACAGAAGAGTGAGTCTACCTGAACCATATGCAGTCAAACATACACACACACACAGACACACAGACAGACATACACGAATACAGACACACACACAGACATACAGACAGACATACACGAATACAGACACACACATATACACACTGATACAGTCAAACATACACACACAGACATACAGACAGACATACACGAATACAGACACACACACATACAGACACACACACATACAGACAGACATACACGAATACAGACACACACATACAGACACACACACAGACATACAGACAGACATACACGAATACAGACACACAGACACAGACACACACATATACACTGATAAAGTCACAAATACAGACACTCACATACACAATCATACACATTCATACACATACACACATAAAGATACACACACAGACATACACGCATAAAGACACACGCACATACATGCAGACATGCACACACACATACACAGGGAATATGCCCATTTAACGAATATTATCAACCCAACACACATACACACACACATACACACACACATAAACACACACACACACACACATACACACACACACGCACACGCACACGCACACACGCACGAACATCCACACACACACACACACACGCGCGCGCGCGCGCACACACACACATGCACACAAACACACACACACATATACACACACACGCGCACACATTATGTATCCCGAGCCTGTTTTCACTTAGTCATATATGTATTTTGGAGGCAAATGGAACCCATCGTTTAGGCCATGGCATACATGTAACTGGGCTCGTTATCATTTCAACACAATGTTAATTTGTTATCATAATATATAGCATGGTCAGTACAGCTCATAATCTTCTACCACATTTCCGACCTACATGCACTCACTGTTATCAAAATGTAGACTGGGCAAGTCTATCTATTTTGTTAGAAAGATACAGTGTGGAATGAACAGCACTTTGCAACTATTAAACTGTAACCATTCTTTTTCTGTTGCATATAGATTCAAGAAACTCGACGGTATAGCAGGATACATGAAGCCAGACTTTTTGAGACTTGTCGCCCGCTACAAGTTTGCCATAGCTTTTGAGAACGCCATCTGTGACGACTACATCACAGAGAAGTTGTGGCGCCCTCTACAGGTGGGAACTGTCCCTATTGTGCTCGGCTCGCCGACAATCAGGGTGAGATGACTTTTGTGTGTGGACACATTTCGGTGAGAGTATATGTTCTTTTACTTGGACCACGAGACAAAAAGATGGCCGAGATGTCTTGTTTGTGTGGTGGCATTTTCGTTAGGGTATATAAGTATATATTTTCTTAGGCTGTACCCAAGACACACAAAGTCGTAAGTCGTAGATGTAAAGGCATAATCATAATTACATTTTCTAAACAACTTCGATACAATAAACGACTACGATAGGGCAGAGGGTAAGCTTTGGTCTTAAGTATAGTTATCGTCTCGTGTAACGGATGAATGGAAACGTTTTGCAGTAAGCTATTCAACTTAGCGTTAGACAAGACTAACGGAGTAGCTGGTCATCCATGTACAGGTGGAGGGTTCGACAGCGAAGAAAGATTTTTCCTGAACCATTGTTATCATCATGATTATTTTTCAACCACAATCTAAGAATCACGGGTTCTACGTTTGACGCATGTATGCCTAAATGTTCATTTAACCTTCGAGGACACATCCAGACACAATAATACAGTAACTTAATATATGATTTGAAACTGTGAACCCCCATTGTGATCTGTTTCTATTATCTGAAGAGCTGAATGAGAAAAACTAAAGAAGAAAGATAAACTAACGAATAAAGAATGAATGTTAAAGTGCGACTGTGCCGATAAATCATTTCTGTTTTATGGTCATGTTATAAATGTGTATGGTCATGTTATAAATGTGTACTGTGGCATTAAAGGCGTGAAAGGACTTTGAGAATATATTTGTCATGAATTGAAAAAACATGTAGTCGACTAGAATGTTAGCTCTCAGCCTCGGAAAGAATAGTAATTATTATACATCTTTTTTTCTGATTGTAGTTTTTTCTATTCAAATAAATGCAATTTAAAATCAGCTCTACTTAAAACGTACTTTCAGGACTTTTTACCATCCACCAAATCAGCGATTCTGGTCGAAGACTTTGACACTATTCAAGACTTGGCTGCGTTCATCAAGCAGCTTGATCGGAACGACGAACAGTATGAGTCATACCTCCAATTCAAACACACGGACATTTCAAATCCAAGGCTGAAGTCAGAACTCGTGCGGGTATCACCAGGGGAGTATGCAGGTGGACGTTTTGGGAAGGCTGCTTCAGGATATGAGTGTTTCCTCTGTGACAAACTTCACAACGCGCTTAATGCAACTAAAGCCGGGAAGCCTGTCGCGAAAGCACAGGCAAATCTGAACCATTTTGGATGTCCTTTACCTGCACAGAAATTTGACGAAAACGGCCAAATCGTCCCCGACCATCGCCGAAAGCATGAGTTGGCATTCTACCATATGAACGCGCAGGTGTTCCGCCAGTTCTATGACAGGGCTGAGAACATCACGTCTCACGATCTGTACACAGCCACAAAACAACGATTGAGAAAGGTGCAGGCGAAACAGGAAGACTTGTAAAGCAGGTTTTACTAGGATAAAAAGTAACTGATGGAGTTTACTTAAATCTGTATTTTAAAACCCAAAACCCGCCTGCATCCATTAACCAATATATTGTATCTGACGTGATAGATGTTTATTACTTATCCCTTACTTACTATTGCAAACTTTATCCCACGAGGAGTGCGAGTGATCAGCTAAATATGGGCAGACATTCATTTTCTGAGTTGTTTGAAAATAAATATGCTTCAGATTTTAGTTGCGATTGTTATTAATTCCAAACCATGTTTACATGTTTATCTAAAGGTGAAATCTCATGCTTGCTTGTTCACCTAAAAGTGGGATCTCATGCTTACAAGTTCATCTCATGTTTACATGTTCACCTAAAAGTGGGATCTCATGTTTACATGTTCATCTAAAAAGTGGGATCTCATGTTTACATGTTCATCTAAAAGTGGGATCTCATGCCTACATGTTCATCTAAAAGTAGGATCTCATGTTTACATGTTCATCTAAAAGTGGGATCTCATGTTTACATGTTCATCTAAAAGTGGGATCTCATGCTTACATGTTCATCTAAAAGTAGGATCTCATGTTTACATGTTCATCTAAAAGTGGGATCTCATGCCTACATGTTCATCTAAAAGTAGGATCTCATGTTGACATGTTCATCTATAAGTGGGATCTCATGTTTACATGTTCATCTAAAAGTAGGATCTCATGTTTACATGTTCATCTAAAAGACGGATCTCATGCCTACATGTTCATCTAAAAGTGGGATCTCATGTTTACATGTTCATCTAAAAGTAGGATCTCATGTTTACATGTTCATCTAAAAGTAGGATCTCATGTTTACATGTTCATCTAAAAGTGGGATCTCATGCTTACAAGTTCATCTAAAAGTGGAACCTGATGCCTACAAGTTCATCTCATGTTTACATGTTCATCTAAAAGTTGGATCTCATGTTTACATGTTCATCTAAAAGTGGAACCTCATGCCTACATGTTCATCTAAAAGTGGAATCTCATGTTTACATGTTCATCTTAAAGTGGGATCTCATGTTTACATGTTCATCTAAAAGTGGGATCTCATGCTTACAAGTTCATCTAAAAGTGGAACCTCATGCCTACAAGTTCATCTCATGTTTACATGTTCATCTAAAAGTGGGATCTCATGTTTACATGTTCATCTAAAAGTGGGATCTCATGCCTACAAGTTCATCTCATGTTTACATGTTCATCTAAAAGTGGGATCTCATGTTTACATGTTCATCTTAAAGTGGGATCTCATGCTTACATGTTCATCTAAAAGTGGAACCTCATGCCTACAAGTTCATCTCATGTTTACATGTTCATCTAAAAGTGGGATCTCATGTTGACATGTTCATCTAAAAGTGGGATCTCATGTTTACATGTTCATCTAAAAGTGGGATCTCATGCTTACATGTTCATCTAAAAGTGGGATCTCATGTTTACATGTTCATCTAAAAGTGGGATCTCATGCCTACAAGTTCATCTCATGTTTACATGTTCATCTAAAAGTAGGATCTCATGTTTAAATGTTCATCTAAAAGTGGGATCTCATGCTTACATGTTCATCTAAAAGTGGAACCTCATGCCTACAAGTTCATCTCATGTTTACATGTTCATCTAAAAGTGGGATCTCATGTTGACATGTTCATCTAAAAGTGGGATCTCATGTTTACATGTTCATCTAAAAGTGGGATCTCATGCTTACATGTTCATGTAAAAGTAGGATCTCATGTTGACATGTTCATCTAAAAGTGGGATCTCATGTTTACATGTTCATCTAAAAGTGGGATCTCATGCCTACATGTTCATCTAAAGTTGGGATATCATGCTTACAAGTTCATCTAAAAATGGGATCTCATGCTGACGTGTTTACCTAAAGGTTGGATCTCATGCCTACATATTCATCTAGATGAGTCATCGCATGGTTACATATTGATCTAAATGTGGGATCTCATGGTTACATATTCATCTGAAAGTGGGATCTCATTCTTATTCTCACGAGGGTATTGGACATTTTGTGCAGTTAATGTCGAGGGATCGGGTGGTCAGGCTAGTTGCTTGATGCATATAATCGTATCCCAATGACGTGGGTCGATGCTCATTATGTCAATAACTGGATTGTCTGGTACAGACTCGATTGTTTACAGGCCGACGTCATATAGTTGGAATATTGCTGAATGAAGCGAATGCAGGGATAATTAAGACAAATGTTTGAATGCTTTTACAATCCTTATTTGGTTGATATAAGAATTCATGTTGCCAACTAAAACAAACAATAAAGCTAGCTTCTCAGCTGTTTCGTTTCATGTTTCTTCCAGTCTCACACATATATAAATGAGTGTTCAGTAGTTTTTATGTAGGGTCATAGGAGATATTGAAATAGGATATCATTATTCAACACATACAGCATAAATCCACAGTTATATTTGTCAACAAGTTTTGAAACACAGCTGTCCATCGAAGGGTGACCCTTCAGCATGACAATGCAACTGAACATCTGTTTTGATCAATGAGATGTCAATAGTAACGTCCCCATTGGGTTACATTCTTCACTCACAGACTCAAGTGTAAATTTGTATTTGTAAACGCAGCCTACCGTGAGATAAATACTCATTCAGCCAGCATATACCTACTCATGGAGATGACACTATCTCAATATATATATGGAAAGGAACACCGTCCTGTAGAAGTAAATAGGGATATTCCTTCATCGCACAGATCCTAACTCGATCAGGGCCATGTATCATTACATCAATAAATCATGAAGGAAAAGGAAAATACGTAAATGCATACGTTAAATCTCGTGTATTGAAATCAGTAAATGCTATCAGAGGTTAAACATTAGTCACCATACGTACTAAGGGAAACAAGTAAGAGATGACCTGTAGGGTATCGCACGTGCTACATATGCAGGTTTTGTGTTCAAGTAAAACGAAACGAGATATTATTCAGCATGCAGTCAACATATCTGATACTAACATTACACTCCGTGACCTCAATTAGTGATCTGATGCTTCTGACCACAACAGTTTATATATGACTTTTAACAAATATTTTTTGTAACATATGGAGGCCCCATGAATCCTGCTGGTGTAAGAGTGGTGTAACACCTACATGTTTCTCGGGCTTAAGATGTTTACATGACGGTGTGTTGATTTGCCCGTTCAGATTACTTTGAAATACTGGTAAGATTGTTATTTACGTTTCAGGAAAGTTATTGTATCTGTGGTATATTTCTTAATTGTAACATCTATGACATGTCGATCGCCACACCTGCCATATAGCTGCTTGTCCAACTTTTTACTTCTTGTACTGCTATAAACGACATTACATGTATACATGTTCGCACATAATTGTACAAATACGAATGTGTAAAACATCTTAGCATATTACATAAATACTGTTTAGAGTGTGTACTCTGTGTATATTGAAATGTGCCGATCTCTTTCGACGTTATAAGAATCATCCTTGATTCGATCCAGGAACCTACGTCGTCATCAGATTTGATCGCTTTTGAATCACCACTAGTCGAGATTTCGCAGTTACCTCCCTTGTATGTCATGCGAAAGGGAAGGCACAGGTAGGCACAGGTGTGAACCGAGGTGGGATTTGGTTATTTCAAGGCATCCAGGACATACAATTAAATCTCACACAGTGCACATGAAGAACTAGTATACTTGTTTATTCAGGACTTCGACAGCATCAAACTTATATAAGGTATGCGTTTCTTAAGTTTAAACTTAAAAACACACGAAACATTAAAGGAAGAGAAACCGAAAGTAGGAATTGTTGGCCCCAAAAATAAAAAAAATGTAAAGTATATTGATTTAAATTTCTTTTATTGTTATGGGTTTTACAAATGTTTGACATTCAGGTTAACAAAGTCATTCGTCGACGTGTAAAAATGACGCAATAAAGATATGTTGACTTGGTCCTTAATACTAACGTTCACAGTTGCCTCCCTTGTATTGTGACTGTGAGGGGGCGTGTCTATTACCAGTAAATCAAGGCTTGATTGGTGTTGACGGAGGTGGATTACAGGTCATCAATACAAGACCCTATGGGTAGTTGTTTTAAAGTTAGCATTTCAATGACGACAGTTTATTGCCACATCTACATTAGTGAAGTTGACATTAAATCTCATCTCACATGATCACTATACGTTCATATATTCAGTTTCGGTTCATCTATTCTAGGTAAATCTTTTATTGTGTGGAAACAACGATCGAGCTTGTTCTTATGACAGAACTCATAAAAAAACTATAATGTAGGAACATATTTTATTGAAACAATAGTATAAACAAATACGTTCTGAAACACCTTGTTTGACATGATGTCACGCTGTGTAGCATCTGTTATTCCTGTAGCACTATGGATTGGTCGATATGGTTACTTTTGTGACAAGAAATAATATGTAAATTGCTCATTCGACATGGGTTTACAGAGGCGTTTCAGCATACTTAGTGGTGCACACAAGTTACTGACGGGGTGATTGTGTTTGGTGTTATGCCGCGTTATGCAGTATTTCAGTTATATCATCGCGTGTCAGCTTGATATGGAAGGTAAGCCCGAAGTGGCACTCAAGAAATGTTATTGTCCCAAACAAAACATATGTAACGCCATTACAAAGACGGAACATTTTCAACTGAAATTATTTCTTGGAAAAGTGAACAGTTATTTATGTTTTACAGATGGCGACGTCGCGGGCTGAGAAAGTGACGGAATTCCTCACCTGTGTGATCTGCCAGGAACTGTACACAGACCCCTGTACACTGAGGTGTGATCACACATTCTGCAGAAAATGTGTCACTAAATACATCCAAACCAGACCAGATGCTGCACAGTCCAAGACGATCCCCTGTGCCTTCTGTCGACAAGATACCAAGGTCCCCCATCCCAGACGGCCTGTTGAGGAGTGGGCGGGGCAGATCAAACCCAGCATCATTATACAGGGGTTGATTGACACACAAGCTGACGTTGTCAAAACAGGTATTGGTTTATTACATTATGTATTACACATTATTTCACAAACTGATATCTAGTAATAAGAAACATGTTTGTAATAAAGGCATGTTAAAGGGTACTCGATATGTGTTTAAACATACAGTATAATTACAGTATTGCTGTTAACAGTATGTTCAATTATACCAATTAACTCCACTTAACGACTCCAGAAAATATACATTTGTTACAAACATGACTTATCTGTACTCAGGGCATAGAAATATTTACAATATATTTTGACGTCGGGACAATGTGCACTGGCAATGCTAATTGACCTGCTGATTGATTCGGTTTACATGATGCTAATATATTCATATCATCTATAAAGCCCTTGAAAATATTATTATCTGAAAACATCAACAAATGGCAGTTTATGAAAAGGGTATTTGTAATGATAGAATGTTTCAGGTTGATAATAGTGAGTGAGTGAGTGAGTGAGTGAGTGAGTATGTATTTTTGCCGCCTTCAGCAATGTTCAAGCGATATCACTGCAGGAGACACAAGAAATGGGCTTCACACATTTTATTCATTTGGGGAATCAAACCTGGCTAACACTTAAACCTCTTGCCTTCCCCATCGCCCCTGATAATCGTGATGAAAACTGTACACTTTTAGAGCAATTATACCTGTTGAACTACATGTACATAACTGGGTGAATGAGTTCAGTTTCACGCCACTGCCAATCAAGCCAATATGGGGCTTCACATATTAAACACATGGGCGTGACGAGCCAACACTTGAACTCCAAGCCTACACCCGTCGCTCTATTCGTGCATTGAAAATAGGTGAGGGGAAGGGGGGGGGGATTTTACCTTGTCATGATATGTCAAATAACTATAGACATGTCCACTTGCAGGTTCCGCTTCATGTTGCTCAGTGTGTGAGAAGTTAGGGGAGACAATTCCGGGAGCCTCATGGTGTTCTGAGTGTCAAGTGTCCCTCTGCGAGAGATGTGTCAAGATGCATGTTGCAAATCCAGCATCACATGACCATGAGATCTGTGACCTTTCAGGGGAGGTCAAGGTGAAAAGGAGACGCAAGGTCGTTTGCAGGGAACACAAGGATGAGGTTATAAAGCTTGTATGTAAAGACTGCCACAAAGCTGTGTGTCAGACATGTTGTGTTGTATACCATAGGAAATGTGAGTCTGTCGTTACCATTCAGTCAATGTTGCCAAACCTGAAATACCATTTAAGAAAGCATGCTAAACAGTTATCAAAGAAAATACATAGAAAAGAAACAATTGTTAAGAACACAGACGAGAAAATTAGCGGAATTGCGAAAAACAAAATAGCAGTAGAAAATCATATTAAATCTGATGTTGAGAGAGCCATAGCCAACATCAAGCAGAAAGGAAAACAACTGATGAATGAAGTCAGGGATATGACAGACAAACAAACTAAGCAACTTAAAGCCGATGTTAAACTTGAAGAGATTGAGATGCAGATGTACAGACAACATTGTGAGTTCATTGACCAGGGCTTGGAATCGGACTGTGAGATGGACCTGTATGGCGCGTATCAGGCCTGGGAATCGGGGTCTGTAGAGTTGGGGGACGTCAGGGACACAGACACAGCAGACACACGGAGAATAGATGAAATCAGGTTCACACCTGACACTGACAACGTCCAGCACATCCTAGATGACCTACAGCTGGGGAAGATTGACGTCACATACCAGGATCAGGGCACATGTCTGCCGTCTCAAGTGCGAGTTGACGTGATAGATGGGAGGATGGCGGGTGATAAGGGTGAGCCTGTATTTCGTGACGTCACAGTTCTGGTTGTTGATGGTATACAGACAGTTGTAGTCACTGACTTCAATAACAAGTGTGTGAAATCCTTCTACACCAGAAACAACTTGACATGCCACAGTAAACTTCCCCTGGATGGCTCTCCCCATGGTGTAACACGGTTGAAGGAGAACCAGGTGATGGTTGCTGTCCCTGACTCCAGTCAGATTGTAACAGTAGAAGTGACCCCTGACCTGGTGCTGCTCTCTATCATCACAACAAGCAAGAGGTACGTCAGTCTTGCTGTTTTGAGTCCTTCATCTCTAGCAGCAGGTACCTTTTACTGTTTTGATATCCTGGACATGGCGGGACACGTGCTGAGGTCAGTTACTACACACAACAATGAGACACTGTTTGCCTACCCCGCCTATATGTGTGTCAACAACAAGGGCAACATACTCGTGTCTGACTTGGAGACTAGGTCTGTGACATGTGTGACGTCAGAGGGGGATGTTGTGTGGAGATACGCCCCTACCGGAGACAGAGCACTCATTCCTTATGGTATTACAACTACTCCAACAGGAGACATCCTGGTTGCAGGCACCAGTGAGGTTACAAGGCTGACAGAGACAGGGGATTATGTCACAGATCATCAGGTCAGTGGCTGTGATCCATGGGGATTGTATGTCGATAGACATGACACACTGTATGTTTGTGGTGGACGTCGGATACAGGAAGTCAACTTCATGTAGTCACATCAACAATTGCATGATTTCAATCATCACTATTACTGGTGTTAAATTCACTATAACAACTCAAAATAGACTCTTCCGATTGGGGTGTGAATGATCATACAAAGGTGTATCAACAGACATTATTTCCACATCATTACACATCACATTATGTGTTTAGCAACCTGGTTCTCTTTATTAAATCGCCTCCACGAAATATATTCGCCCCCAGAATAAAGTCTCCCCCCGGCGAATTTATACCGGTACAGTTCCGCCCCTCTCGAAATAAACTCTCCCCCACCCTACGAAATAAAATCTCCCCCCAGAATATTTCCGCCCCCGGTCGTTTTATAAATACTTGCCATGCAGTTCAATAGTTGATGTTATTTTGGGTTAGGTAATGTTGTAATCTATTTTTAGCCATTGATTCCATTACTTTGCATAAGTTTGAAGTTGAGATATTGGTCGATGTGAGTTAGCTTGATTAGCTGGTTTATTAGGTTTAGGGATTGGTATGACTAGGGCCTGTTTCCAGGGAGTAGGATATAGTTTTAGGGTGTTTTTTTTAATTATTTGTTAAGAAGTTAGGTCTAATCCTGGGGCTGTGCCCTTTTTCCTGTTTTGGATTACGTAGAGGAGCTCCTCCATTTTGTAGGGTTGGTTTATTTCTAGATTGTTATTGTTTGGTTCTTTTGTAGGTTTGTTTTTTGTTTTAAGTTTATCTTGGAATTTTTGTCTGAAGTTGGTGTTACTGCTAACGGCCGAAAAGTGGTTGGCGAGATTATTTGCTTTTTTGGCGGGGTTGGTTGAGTTGTTAATGTTAGGGTTTTTTTATGTCGTTTTAAGCCTCTAATGACGTGGATTTTGCGCCAGACCGTTCTGGCATCTGTACGGTTATTTATACCTTCGCAGAATTTTTTCCAGTCTCTACTTTTGTCTAGTTGGACTAGTTTTTGAACCTGGTGGTTTAGTTCGTGGGCTATGTTTAGATGTTTGTAGTCGCGTTTTGCTTTATTGAAGGCTGATTTACGTTTTCGTCTAGTCTGTTCTATTTCCTCATTCCACCATGGTACCGTGGGTTTGCCTGATGTTTTGAAGGGAATGGAGGTTTTGGCTGCCTTTATTATATATTCGTCTGTTAGGTTTTTACAATAGGTTTCTGGGTCATTATTTTCTATTTCGTTTAAGTTAGCTTCGTTGCAGATATCTTGGAATTGGTCCCAGTTAGCTTTATTGTAATAGAATTTTGGTTCTTGGTTTTCTGTTTGGATTGGTACGTTTGTATTTACTATGGTTATGTTTATCGGGAAGTGGTCACTACCTAGCGGGACGTCGTGCACTTCCCATTGAGTACTTTGAGATAGATCTGCGGTGCATATGGTTAGGTCGATAGCCGACATTTTTTGGTTTATCTTATCGTAACTCGTGGGTTGGTTGTTATTTAGGAGTACTAGGTCGTTTGTTTCTATCCATTCGGAGATTAATTTGCCATGATTATCTATTTTATCATCTATGCTCCATGTAGGATGGTGAGCGTTAAGTTTCCTAGGAATATAGTAGATTTATCGCTTATTTGAAGTAGTTTGTTTAGATCCTCAGGTTGGACTTTTTGTTCCGCCCAGTGGTATATATTGATGATGTTTATTTTTCGGTTATTTAATGTGATTTTAATGCAGTTGGCTTCTAGGTTTGGCGTGTCTATTTTTATTTCTTCGTAATTTATATCTTCCCTGATAAATATGATTAGTCCTCCTGCGGCTCTTATTGTTTTTGTTTTAGCTCTGTCAGTTCTAACTTAGTTGTAGTTAGGTAGTGTGGATTTGGATTTTTTTGAGAATTTGGTTTCCTGGATACAAGCAATGTGAGGGCCTTTATTTAGTTTAAATTTAGTTTTTAGTTCATGGCCGCGGGAGGTGAGTCCGTTGGCGTTCCACTGAAAAATATTTAGTCCTTCCATTATTGGGTTCGGGTGAATGGTGATTTAATTTTTAGTTTTTATTTTATTCGGTGACTTCTTTTAGGTGGAGGTTAAAGAGGAAGAAGGGAAGATCGGTTAATTTTATATTGAAAGCTACTTTGTGGAAGGATTTCATGCTAGCTTTTTGTGAGTTTTGACTATGCATGTGTACTAGGAGTATTTAGGAGGTTATTTGGGTTTTGGGTGTTAGCTGGTTGGGGAGTTTTGCGGTTTAGTTATTTCTTCCTTTTTGGGGCTGAGAGGGAATTTTGGTTTGTTCTAGTTGGAGTAGTGTCTATTGTTTCCTCAGTAGTGGAGAAATCTTCATCATCGGTTAGATTAGGTTTAGCTGTTTGAGTTTCCATAGGACGAAAACACATTAAATGGCCTGGCGAAATACGCATCAGTCGGAATGCGCACGTTGAATCTCAAAAGTAAGTAAGTAAGTAAGTAAGTAAGTCAATAGTTGAGGGTATTGCCTAAAAGTCGGGCCGGCCGGGCCAAGACGGACCAAAGTGTTATTGGCTAATTTCTTCATTATCGGTGATCATACCTACATATCATTGATGCAACATAGACACATGAGATTTATGAACAAGCACCAACCAAAAATGAGATGTAAGCGTCGCTGATCTAGGTAACATGTAAAAGATTAATCGTTAAACGAAATAAGATTTGAAACGTATCAAATACTTCCAGCTATCCTGATACAAATTTCCATCTGTCGGCGTGGCGTTTATATTTATAGGAACGTACTATTGCTAAGTAAATACCACTAATAATTTTCGTGGCATCTCTCTTTTGAATTCCATGAGTAAAATTTTTGTATCAATACTTAATTCTAGGTTTGAGTATTTTGTTGAATCTCATCAAATTATCGGTGAATACCAGGGTGGTTTCAGACGTGAACATTCCACCTGTGATAACATTTTTATTTTAGTCTATGGCTCAGAAATTCATAACGCGCAAAAAGGGAAAATTTTATTGCGCATTCATAGATTTTCAGAAAGCCTTTGATAGAGTTAGTCATGATAAGTTATTATTTTTATTGTTACAAAATGGTATACATGGACAATTTTATAATGTTATCAAGAGTATGTATGATAATGTGAAATCTGCTGTTGTAGTTAATGGTGGTAGAAAATTATCAGAATATTTTTCTTGTACTGTTGGTGTTCGCCAGGGATGTACATTAAGTCCCCTGCTGTTCTCCATATTCATTAAAGAGCTTGTTGATTATATTAGCAAGTCTTTTGATGATAGTATATATATATCCGGAGAAATGTATAATATTCTTGCTCTCCTTTTTGCTGATGATCTCATTCTTGTAGCAGACACCCCTCTTAGATTGCAAAAGCGATTAGATCAGCTTGCTTTTTATTGTTTTAAGTGGGGAATTGAGTTAAATATGGATAAGTCAAAAATAATAGTTTTTAAGAATGGAGGTAAACTTTCTAGATATGAGAATTGGACATATAATGGTGTTAAAATGGAAACTGTAAGTTTTTATAAATATTTGGGGTTGATGGTAACACCAAAGCTTGTTTGGACTAAAGCATGTAAAGTATTATCAGAGCAAGCTAGTAAAGCATTAATCCCAGTAAGGTCTTTGATAAGGAAATTTGATATTCCAGTGGAAAATTCATTTCAAATTTTTGACAAGAAAATTATGCCAATTCTTACATATGGTAGTGAAATATGGGGTTTTATGGAGAGGGAGAGTATAGAAATTGTTCATAGAAAGTTTTGTAAATTTATTTTGAATATTTCTTATAAGTTACCAAATGCAGTAGCCTATGGAGAATGTGGCAGACGTCCACTTAAAGTTGTATATTATGTCAAATGTATAAAATATTGGTTACGGCTTATCGCCATGTCCAGAAGTAGGTACCCATATCAGTGTTATAAAATGCTAAGAAGTTGTTGTGATAGGAAACAACCTAATTGGGCCACTCATGTTAGAAATTTATTATGTTTTTTATGGTTTTGGAGTAGTATGGGTATCGCATGAAGTGGGAGATGAGCAGTTATTTCTAAACATATTTAAGCAAAGAGTGTTGGATTGTGCAACACAGGATTGGCATTCAGATGTGGAACAAAAGAAAGTGCTTGTTTTTTATTCCTCATTTAAATCTTTGTTAGAATGTGAAAAATATGTGGTTTGTATAAATGTAACTAAATTTAGTAGAGCGTTGTTAAAATTCAGGAAGTGGTTTTAATTCATTTGGAATCCAGAATGTTAGAAAAGGTAAATGTGTTAAAGAGGATAAAGAAGCAATTTGTTTTTTTTGTAATGTTCTTGAGAATGAAAATCATATTATATTTCAATGTCCTAGGTATGAAGATAGCCGAAAGGTTTTTCTAGAGGAGTTGAAAAAAAAAGAATAAATCATTTGTTACTATAAATATGTTGTGTACATCAGATCAAATTGAGATATTATATTATTTCTCCAGATTTCTGTATACCATTTTCAGTATCAGAGGGATGTCTAGTATTTTTACAGTTATCACTATATGAAATGTTTCAGGGTTCACTGTACTAAGAAAAGAAAACAACTAACTGAAGCGTCTGGAACATCTTAGTTTGTCAGATTTATATAACACTTTAATTAATCCCATCACTGTCAGTATGCTATCTGTTTCTATATTTATATTGAGGTTTATTAGCTAATAGAGCGCATCCAAAATATATTGTAACTATGGGTCATGTGGCCTTCTTTACTGAATAAAATTCTGTCTGTCTGTCAAATCCCACTTTATGATGTCACTGTTCATCGTATTTAAAGCAGACACGTTGGTTAAAGTAGACCTCTTCTCCCCATACTCCCCATACTCTCAACTGTCTCACAAGTGTTCGGTCCGACTTGGCTGTCAAGATCAACTCTAAACACACAGATGTATCATCAAATGTGTTTACATCTATAGACAAGCAAATCACTTCTTACTTACTTACTTACTTACTTACTTACTTACTTACTTACTTACTTACTTACTTACTTTGGAGATTTAACGTGCGCTTTCCGACTGATGCGTATTTCGCACACGGTCAAATCAGAGACGATGTTTATATGCTAGTCGTTAGGTACAAAGATTGTTTAGTAACTTAAGAAGTTATTAACACGTGTCGTGTCAGCCCTATGCCATTCGCGATTGTCCACTTCCAGAAAACATCCTGTGTTGGTTTAACATGAATTAGTAAAGGTTCATTAGGGATGCCCAACACGTTAATTAATGAAAGAGGAGTAGTC